ATTCTTTTTATTTTGAAATAGTTAACAAATTCACAGGAAACTGTAAAGATAATACAGAAAAGTTTTACGTATCCTTCACCCAGTTTCCCCCAATCACTATGTCTTATCCTAGTTGTAATAAGATTCATTCCATGACAGTGGTGTTTTTGGATGGCTTGGTTTGGTTTTCTGAGACAAGCTCTCACTACATGGCCCAAGTGGGCCTTGGACTCCCAGCCATCCTCCTTCATTGGCCTCATGAATGCTGGGATTACAGGTGTTATGGGTGATGTCACACAGTGGGTAGCGGTTTAATCTGTATTTCCTGACTCCCTGTTTGTGCTTCTTTTTCTCATGGTCTCTTTGCTTTTCATTCAGTTTCCTCTAGAGTTGTGTTTGCTATATTCAAATGATTATTCCCATAATTACATGTCATTTGAATTTCATAGTAATCTTTCTTTGAGTTACACTGTCAGTGTTCACAGATGACTTTTTGAAGGATTAGGACTGTTATTTTACAGTAACAATTATTTGTAAGCAGTTGTTACAGTATCTGCAGTTGTATGATCATTAGTTTTTTATTATTTATATAAACTTCTTAAAAGTTTCCTATGCAATAGAAAAGAGGAGTTAGGTAATATTTGACAAAATTTTATAAATAACTGTATCCTGAATTATAAAGTGAGCTCTAAATTAATATATTCATTAAGATTTCTAATTTCTGCTGAACATGGCTCACATCTGTTGTCTTGGTTCCTCTCATTGCTGAGACAGAATACCCAATACCAAAATAAAGGGAGGGAAGGTTTATGTAGCTCACTGTGTAGGTTTCAGTCCATAATCAGCTGGCTGCAAGGCAGGGTGGCATGGTACTGGGGCAACACTTCAAGGCAACAGCCAGAGCAAACGAAAGAAAACAAATCTCTTCTCCCGGCTTATATTGTACACAGGCCACTCCACCCCTCAAGGGTGGGTGTAGCACTCACAAAATCTCCTTGCCCTCCTTTGCACAAGTTGAGGATATTTACAAATAAGAACCCTGGCTCCCTGCTGAGTCACTCAGTTAAACCTCTAAACTGCTGAAGTTGACATCAACCATAACACCTCTAATCCCAGCATTCAAGAGGTTGAAGCAAGGAGGATGTTGACAGGTATAAGGCAGAAAACAAGAAAGCTACTTTTTGACTGATGAAAAAGCTGTCTATGACATAACTTTACTAATGTGGATTTTCTTTCCTTTATTGCTGATAAAATATTTGTTTGGCAAAATTTCTCTGCTGATTGCATGTCAAGGTTACACATAGTCCTGCAAACAGAAGTGATCCAAATCAAGCTCCCTGAGGGAAGGGCAGCTACTTACTTTTAGCACAAGGAACAGTACCCATGGCTTCCCCTGCTTACTGAAACCAACTTCTGCCTGCCAAATTTTTGTGTGCTGTAGGGCAGCACAATTGGAGAGTAAACAGTGATCCTGAGGGAGGTTGGGAAAATGAAGAGTGAATTTTACTAGCACACAGGAGATTGAGGTAGAATAAACCCAAATTCAATCCCAGCTGGGTCAGCAAGTTAGCTGGACCCTGTCTCAAAATTAAAAGTAAAAGAGGGCTGGTGAGTAGCTCAGTGCAAAGTCTCTGGATTCAACCCCAAGTTCTGGGGGAAAAAATTTTCCACATTTCACTGTTACAGGGATAATATTTATAATGCTTTAAAAAATTCTTACTTATTACAAATAAAAATATGTATTGTTATAAATGTTAATGTTGATTTATTGCTTTTAAAATTCTGTTGTTCTTTTTAAGCCTAAATGTATTTACTTTTGCTTAAAGACAAAAATTACTGATAAGTAGTTTGAGTCATATTTAAATTAGGAAGAAATTTGATTATATAATGGTTTATAGTGAGAGAGGTTTTATCTTTTGTAAATATTTCTATCCTTTAGTTTTCTTAGATTGTCAAGGTTGAGCTAATGTTTTGCCTGAACCTTCCTTTTAACTCTCTTATTGATAGTGCTGGGTGTCTGGTTGGCTAGCTGCCACCTTATTTGCAAATGTCATTGACTCAGAGTGGATCTGAATGCCAAGTGTTATTTTGCTTCTTATATCAGAAAGTGGAATCTGTTGTCTTATTGTTCCACTTGTCAAATACTGAGTTCTCCTGAAGCAGGCATCAAGTAAGAGTGTGTCATGCTGGATGTTAATTACGGATTAACACTGGAAGTAAGTCAGAGGAAGCAGGATTGGGTAGCACGAGAAATCAGATTACACTGTAGGCCAAAGCCTCAGCATGCCCCAGTAGGAGTTCTGGAGAGTTGATGGACTTTTGCTTGTTGGTTACCTGATCTGTGCCTTTCCATATCAATCATTCATGGCTTGTGGGCTATTCCATGAAAGGAAGGTGTTTTGGAGAAGAGGAGGCTCACTGTAACTCTGAAGTGGCTGACATTCGAAGCTCTCTGCTGACATCTAGGGCAAAGCTTTTCATTGAAAGAAAAGGCTGCCATATACCCTGAGGCCAGCCTGGGCAAGATCCTATTTCATATACCCAGGGCCAGCCAGCTACAAAGCAAGTTCCATCCTAGGCTGGGCAAAATCCTGTCTCGGCATACAAAATACAAAGAGCTGGGCAGGATGTGTGTGTTAAGGATGTAGCTCAGTGATGCAATGCTGTGCTTGCCTAGCATGTGAAAGACTCGAGGTTCAGTCCCCCAGAACGGGATTGAGTAGGTGGGGGACTGCAAATATGGATTTTGGAAACCAAAATACTGTGAATAACTGTATTTTAATAAATTTTAAAACATGGATGACATGTATTTGTTTAGAAAAATTTAAGCAATTTTAACTTAGTCTAGAAGAAATTATCTGAGTAAACTAAGCATATTTTAAGAAATGGTATGTATTGAAATTTTCAAGACTCCAACACCCTATTTTTTTACATATAAATTTTTTTTGTTTTAAAGGGGGTAAAATTAAACACAACAAAATAGAACATAAGAAAGCAATGTAAGAGATATAAATTTCAAAGCTAGACGATCTGAGATCTTCACTATCTATCATATTGTCTCTTGTTTTCTTCCAAATTGTTGTCTGAGTCTTCGCATACAGAGAATTCATACAAAACAACATAGTATAAAACTGATCAGAACAGAATGAGGAAGGCTTTTTAGGTCTTCAAAACCAGACAATAGGAAAGTCATCAATGGCTGTCATAGAGTCTCAGTTCTCTTCAAAATAGCTGTCCATACTTTCATGTATATTGAAGTTCAACAAAACAAAACAGACTAAAATAACACCATTAATTAGAACAAAGCAAAACAGGGATATAAGTATTTGCCTTCAAAGAGATAGTAGAAGGAAATTCCCCCTATTTGCTACGTTGCCTATGGTCAACCTCTCAAGGGATGTCCAGATCACTGGCTCTCACTTGCTAACAGGGGGAAGGGGAGGTCCAACACCATATTTTAAAGGTAGATTTTACTTTTACTCTCCTTATTTTAAAAAATGAACTATATATGATAACATGTTCAAGTGTTAAATACACATTGATGGTTTTTTTGTTTCTTTGGGTTTTTTTTTTTTTTTTTTGTACTTTGCGCTTGCCAGGCAGGTGCTTAAGCCACTGAACTAAGTCCCTGGCCCCTACATTGTTGTGTTTTGACAGTGTATTGCATACGTCCAAAGATCCCAGTCAAAAATGTTTTCATTACCCTAGAATGTTTTCTTGTGCCAACCCAGGCAGCAGGCCCATAATTTTGACCCATGGCCATAATTTTCCAACAATGATATTTAGTATGTACCTGAAACTACTTTAGTGATCAAAATAGTACCAATATTATAGTCCTGTTACAGGTGGGAAAATTGAGGCAGGGAGACTTTAATTTAAAATGATACTATTTGGGTTAAAGTGACTCTACCATATTCACATTTACCACATAGCACATTTATCATACTCATATTTACCACATACTCACATTTACCACATAGCAGTAGAATTTTTGAAAAACACCGAAGTGCATATTATTTACAGCAAACTTTCTCTTCTTTTAGAAGTGCAGTAAATTGGGATGGCCTTGAACTCACAGTCCTGCCTCAGTCTCCTGAGTTTTTATGGGTGTATGCCACCACATTTATGGGTGTACGCCACTGTGTTCAGCTCATGTGAACATTGCTGGATCTTTGAGAATCTCCACTCCTCTTCCCATCTTGTGTTACTGGGGTTGAACCCAAAGTCTTTGCCCCGAGCTACATCCTTAGCCCTTTAGTATATTTTATTTTGAGACATGGTCTCACTGAGTTTCTCAGATTGAGTTTGAATTTGCCATCCTCTTGCCTCAGCCACCAGAGTGTTGAGATTATCGTTGTGCCAGTATTCCCAGCCCTGAGAATATTTTTACAAGTCATTTTATGTGTGATTAAAGTGTAAAACTAATATAAAACTGATATTCAAATGTAAAACTAATACACAAACTAGTACAATATAATTTAGTACTTAGGTTTGGATATCCTACGAATCCATTGACCTAACATCTAGAAATGGTTGAAGCTGTAAATGGTGTAATCTATTACACATTTGTTTCAGCAATTGCAAAATCAATTTTATGAAGTAGTTTCCTGTGTTTTGATGATCTGCATTACTCAAGAATTTATATATCTGGAATTAGGATTGGTCTCTAAGAAATACATTTTTTTCTTATCTAATATCAGACAATATTATTTTTTGTGGGTATCAGATCATTGTGATTCTTCTCTGTGTGCAGAAAGTAGTTTTACCTTAACCACAGTGGAACCTGTATAAACCCTAAAAGGAATATGATAAGATTGATTTAACCAAATCCACAGGATTCTAGGAGAACTGAAATTTAATGCATTTAAGTAAGAATCACAGCCAGGAATTGGACTCATAATATAATTCAATAGATTTTCTTAGAGTATTACTTTTAAAAGAAGATGAGATTTTCAGAAAACAGAAGGTTATCTTAGCAAGTGATTGTTTATTTTCCCAACTAATAATTGAATTTTTTTCAGAGACATTAAACCTGACAATATATTGATGGATATGAATGGACATATTCGGTTAGCAGACTTTGGATCTTGTCTGAAGTTGATGGAAGATGGAACGGTAAATAAAGATAAGCCAAAATTATTTGACCCACAGACATTTCCCTTGGTGTATGTCTTCTTTCTTTTAAAAACCATCTGTTTGTACAACCTATGCATCAAGCTACACATTTGTCTATCTCTGTTCTACCTCCTTTACGTTTGGGCGTATGGATTCACACTATAGCCTGCTGATGAAGCTGCAAGCCATTTCATCTGTTGAATTAATTTGGAGATTAACGTTTTGAGAACCTTGTTTGCTCCTCCTTTAGTTGGTAACTATTTGTTACTGGTCTTGAGATATTTCTAAGTTTTCAGAAGAGGAAGGCAAATAAGTGCTGCATCCTCACCTTTAGTTCTTTTTTCTTCCCAAATTATGCAGTCATCCTGAGGGACAGTGTTAACAAATTAATCTTTTTTTTCAGAAAGCCCTCTAGATTATATTAATTTTATGCCCCCTTTTGCTTAACTTCTGTTAGTTAACTTATAAAGAAAAAGATTATTGACCTCTGCCTTTGGTCATGTTGAAAAGAATAATGGGAACCAAATTAGCCCTCCTATTATATATATGAACAAGTCTAAGTCAGGGTACACTATTTAAGACATCTGTTTTTAAGCTCTGAACAAGCAGCAGCAGAATGTTTTCTCTAACAGAAATGAGCTCTTGAGGTGTACCTCATAATTGCCTGGAAATGGAACAGTTCCTGATGCTCCTGCAGATAGCTAGAATTAGAGCAGAGTGAGGTATTTCTTCCAGGGTTAGAAGAGTCTGCAGGGATTGGCATTGGAGGGGTAGGAATATGTAGAGACACAGTCTACAGTATCCCTATGGGGTTGCCACACAAAAGTTAGGCAGTACGTATGTACTGCAATAATATGTAGAAATACCCATATAAAACTAGAATTCTGCCACAGAGATCAAGCAGTAATGGAGGGTAAAGTGCTAGGAGACTTTGTGGTTTGGGCCCTAGACACTCAGTGTATACCTTTATAATACTTAAAACCTACTGTAACCTGTCTCACAACCTGTCTCTTCAGTCCAGATCCTGATAAAATCCAAGAGTTAGGTTTGTTGTTGTTTTTGTTTATTTTGTTTTGTTTGAAATAGGGTTTCACTATCTAGTTCAAGCTGATTTTGAACTGACTGGCCTTGAACTCACAGGGATCATCCTGTCTCAACCTCCCAAATGCTGGGATTCCAGGCATGCATCACCATTCCTGGCAAGGCATTTTCTAACAAATGGGAAGATGAGAGAATTACTCGAAAGCAGGCCTTGGATTATAAAGAATGTCCTCAACCAAAAGAAATGATACCATTTGTATGCTTTAAAAATTCTAACATTTATACTTTACTTAAATGTAAAGTCATTTTTCTACCACATTACCAATCAAAACCAAAAATTTTATTTACTTCACATGATATGCATAAATTAATTCCTTGGGTCAAATATCTAAATACAAAAATGAAATATACACAACTATTAGAAGAGAGCATAAGGGAGAAGGCTGTATGAGAGTGGATTTGGCAGTGATATCCACAATGGAAAAGAATATGTATTATTTGAGGAGTTAAAAATAAAGTTACAGTTTGATTTAGCAATTTCTCTTCTGTGTAAGTACCCAAAAGAAATGAAAGCAGAGATTTGAGCAGATGTTTGTACACCTTTTTTATATGCATTATTCACAAAGGCCAAAAAGGATGGAAGCAATCCACATGCTCATCATTAGGAAAAATGAATAAGCAAAATGTAGTGTATACATAGACATGATAGAGGTAATCAGCCTTTAACACATTCACAGTGGGGGCTGCTAGGTGGTTAGAGTCACCAGTGATACATGCGAGACTGTACTGCTTATACCAGCAGTGGTACCAGCTGCCTGATGGGACAGTCATGCATGGACCATGTAGTTCAAGGCAGTGGGAACTTGTTTAAAATGTGGGATCCTGACACATTTCATAACACGTGAACCTTGAGGACATTATGCTAAATGGAGTAACTAGTCACCAAAAACATTAGATAATGCCATTTAGATGAGGTACTGGAATAAATTTACAGAGACTGAAGAGTTGCCAGCCATTAAGTGAAGAGAAAGGAAATTATTGTTTAATGGGAACATCTTAAAATTTTGCCATGGTGGTACATATAATCCTAGCACTCTGGGAACCTATGGCAAGAAGACTACAAGATTGAGCCCAGACTGGGTAAGTCAGTGATTTAGTCAGCGGCTGTCTCAAAAGAAAAAGACAAACAAACAAATAAACAACACCTGGGGATGTAGCTCAGTGAGGCGGCTATGGTTCAACCCCAATATTGTCTTATTGTTATTATTGTTAATAATAAACCAACAAACCAGTTACATTTTCTATGAAATACCAATCTATTTTTCAACCTGCAGTAAGTGTGTCTTTTCTTTTCTTTGGGTTCTCTCTCCTGCTCCTTTTTTTTAAAAATTGTTATGCAGTTAACAATTATGTAGATAAATGTTCAAGTTTATTAATATCCTTGTTTATGATTGCTTCAAGTATCACATTCTTCCATCCAAGTTCAATTTTGTGTTTTTTGAAATACAACCAATAGTGCCTTTCTTTGAAGGGATTTATAAATTACAGTTCTTTCAGCTTTTGTATGAACATGTCTTTAATATCCATTAATTGTCATAATTTAAATAAATAGGGAATTCTATATTGAAAGTTATTTATCAATTTCTAGGTACAGTTCCATTTTCTTTTGACCACTATTGTTGTTATTATTAATTCATCTATCAGTGTAATTATTACTTTTTAATACTTATTCTCTAATTTTTACCTCTGATGTTTCATAATTTAACTACAGTGTGTAGAGGTGGTGCTGGGTACTGTGCTTTTCCACCATCCATGAATTCAAGTCTTATGTTAGTCTTAAAAAGTTATCAACTGTAAATATTGCTTTCTGCTATCTCTCATTTCTGCTGTCTTGCATTACTCTGTGTTGAACCTGCTCTTTCTAGTGTCTTATATCTGTTGGCCTTTCTTCTGTTATTTTCATCTCTGAATAGTGGATGCTGATTAATTTCTTCAGCTCTTCAGGTTTTTTTTTTTTCATTGTGTCTATTTAAAAAATTTCAGTGCCCATTTTCATTTCTAGGACTTCTGTTTCTCTCTCTTTTGTTTTACTCTTTTATATACTTAGCGATTTTAGACATACTTATTTGAAAGAATAGATCTCATAGTTGCTAGAGATTCCATCATATTGCTGGTTGGGATTTGTGACTGTGTATCCTGGACAGTGCCCTCATTTTATTCATATTATCAGACCGTGAGCTCGTTTTCAGTGATATTTTTACATGTGAGAATTGTATCTGATCAAATTTGAGCATATGTTCTCCAGAGCAAATTTGGATTTGTTTGGTTTCCTAGAAGCAAACAAACTGAGTACTCTGGGGCAGTATTTATGGCACTTTCTCAGCCTGAGACAGTGTGGAGCACAGAAGAAATGTGAGTTAGAATTCCAGATGCTGGAACTTAAGTGATCTAGTTAGTGAAAGTCACCATTCCACTTAACAATATACTTCTTGGGCAGAGGTTGTACAGGGCAAACTCCCTACTTCCTGAAAGCTTGTGCTCTTTCCTTTTGTTCCCCTGTGTATTTTAAAATGTAAATACCTAGAAAATGAAAATCAGAAATTTTTCAATCCTGCCAGAGCTCTAATGCTTATCATCCTAGTAGCCAACCAGTTCTTGAGTGTTAGTTCCTCAGCACTTGTTTTTTTAAGAGTATTTGTGTTTTAAAAAGTAACTGTTACACTTTTAAGAATTTGTAAAGGAAGTATTTTCAAGTTATTAATCTCTGTATTGCTAAGTTAGAAGTGTAATTTGGTCTAGATAAAAAGAATGGTAAGCAGAATTTAGAATGTTCAGAACCTTCAGAATATTCATTTTTTAAATGTTTTTAAAGAAACATAACATCCCCCTCGCTTTAACTTCAAGTAATCTTAGACTATATGTACCCAGGGCTTTTGTTTTAGTTACCTGTTTTCTAATTTATATCTAACCTGCTATAATTGTTTTCTCAACTTTTTGTATATTAGAACATTATTTTATTTATTTGTATTATTTTGCAGCACTAGAGATTAAACTTAGGGCCTTTTCACAGAGCTATATCCCTGGCAATTTTTCCTTTTTCATTTAAGGGAGGGTCTCTCCACTGTGCAGGCAAACTTAGGCTCAAACTTGTGATCCTGTTGTTTCAGGCTTCCATAGTACTGGAATTATATGTGTGTACCTCCACACTCAGCTGAGACTTTATTTTTTGAAGGATACTTCCCCTCTTTTATAAAGTATTTTAGTAGTTAGTAAATATTTTGCTGTGCAATATATTATTGACCTGTTTTTTGTAGGTTTCATTAAGGAGTTGGAATATAAGCTCTAGTATTGGCCTACATTTCTTACATTGTCTGCTCCCCCATCTGATAATAAAATCTTCAGTTCCATGTATATATGTATGAAATGTATGTATGCTTAAGAAATAAATATCAGTAAGTCAATAATATATTATAAATCCAATATTCAATTTGTTAATGATTTTGATGACTCAGAGCATATTGTTTCCCTGAAGGTAGTATTCTAAGTAGCAACTATAGTAAAGTTTCTGCAGTGTTGTGATATCTGAAAAATCATTACTATGGAGGTGATATAAAAGCTTAACCTATGTACTAGAAAACTAAATTCAGATGACAAAATATACTTGTTATTAGTTAATTTTGTCTATTGCATATTTTACATGAGTGTAACTTTTAAAATATAAAATTAGTTTGTTTCTAATATATTACAGCAGATTAATAAAAACGTGAACTTCTTCTTCAGGTCCAGTCCTCAGTGGCAGTTGGAACCCCAGATTATATTTCTCCTGAAATCCTTCAGGCCATGGAAGATGGAAAGGGAAGATATGGACCTGAGTGTGACTGGTGGTCTTTGGGGGTCTGTATGTATGAAATGCTTTATGGAGAAACACCATTCTATGCAGAATCTCTGGTGGAGACATATGGAAAAATCATGAACCACAAAGTTAGTATATTCTACATTTTTAAAAATTACTATGGTAAATAAAACAACATAATACTATGATATTAAAGAGAAAATATTTCTAAAAACAGTGAAAAATAACATTCCTTTGGTAGTAAGGGAAACAACAAACATGACTAATCACAATCCATAAATTGTACATAAAATTCTTAATTCTAAGTTTATTTTGTATTTTGTTTAAAGTAAAAATTGAATGGCCTTTCCAATTGAATAAGAAAGGTCATAGATAGTTGAAGTCATTACTTACTATACATGTAATCATGACTAGAAGGCACGTAAAGGTGCTATTCTCAATTTTAGTAGTAACAATGTAATATAAACAAAATTAAAAATGAGACATTTTATCTCTTTGTTTTGAGACAGGGTCTCACTGTGTAGTGCAGGCTGGCCTTGAATTCACTGTGTGTCCTTGAACTTGTGATCCTCCTGCCTCAGCCTCCTAATCATGAGCATGATTCACCTTACCCAGCGATATTTTGTTTTTCAAATTGGCAATGATAAAGAGAAAAATAGTGTATACGTACAGTACATAAATAATGCAATTAGATGGACATCTGAGATATTTTTGATGGGACTATAAATTGTTATAACCTTTCTATTCCAATATTATTTACGATCATAAAACATTAGCAACAATCCAAATTCACAGCAGGAAAAATTTGCAGAGCTTGAATCCATTTAGCATAGCACTAAGTGAAATAGAATAGATTGTATTATAGTAAGAAGAGGAAAGGTTTTGATTATGTGTTTCACAAGATACTGAGCAGTTGCAGGAATTTTGAATGTGAATATTCGCAAAGGGAATCATCTATTCTTTTTAATTTATGTGATTTTTAGTTGTTTTATAATTAGTTATTATATAAATTTTAAAAGTTTATGCTACAGATAGTGCTCTTAAATAGTTACGAAGAGATGAAAAACTGAAAACAACTGCAAGAAATCATTGTAATATAACATGCACTGAGTAGCACAAGTTTTTAAGTGAGATAGTTTCAGTTCAAGATCTATTTCTGTCATTTACTAGTTGTGTGACATTGAGAAAATCACTTGAATACTGTGTCTGGGGTTCTTCTGTAAGACTTATAATGGCAGTAGTCATCTGACATAATTGTTGTGAGGCTTAAATGAATTAAATGAGTAAATACTTTGATTAGTGTCAGATAAATATTCTTCAGAAATGTTTACTGTGATCAGTTCATCATTAATTTGTATTCTATATGAACATTATTGATCATCTACATTCTGTCAAAATGTTAAATAAGTTCCTTTTCATTTTAATAGACATTTAAATTTTTATCATATTTTAATTTGGTACATATGTGCTAATATTGTTTAATACTTTCTGTAGTACATCTCTGATTAAATCACATATGGAATTACAATTCTTTCAGGAAAATGACCTTTCGTATTCATCTCTGGTCTCCTTTAGTATCAATTCTGTGTTCCAGAATACACTTACTAGATATTTTTTAAAGAAAGGGTATTTTTGAGAAAATAAATAAGTCTTTATTCAAAAACTGATTTTTGTTTTTATTTCTGTTATTCTCTATATAGGAGAGGTTTCAGTTTCCAGCCCAAGTGACAGATGTTTCTGAAAATGCTAAGGATCTTATTCGAAGACTCATTTGTAGCAGAGAACATCGACTTGGTCAAAATGGAATAGAAGACTTCAAGAAACACCCATTTTTTAGTGGCATTGATTGGGATAATATTAGAAACTGTGAAGCACCTTATATTCCAGAAGTTAGTAGCCCAACGGATACATCAAATTTTGATGTGGATGATGATTGTTTAAAAAATTCTGTAAGTATGGTATGAAATGCGTCTCCCCTGCTTTTTCTTTTGAATATGCTTATAAAGTAATTTTTTGGTCTCTGAATACTATATTAGCACCACCTGATCACTTAACGATCAAGCAATAGTCATGGTTTCTAGAGCATATTTATCATAAACTAGAAATTAAGAACGTTAACTGAGGTCAACATAGTTATCTATACGAAAAATTCAAAGCTTTACTTCTGAGATAAGTTACGCTAATAAGTTTCCTAATGAAGACAAATTAGATGCTTTAGTGGATTTCATGATGGCAGAGTCAAAGGGTTGGCAAATCTCTCTCTAAAATCAGCCATGAAACAGGACAAAATTGCCAAAAGCAGTCATTTCAGAGCTTAGTAGATTAACCAAAGGGAAATAAATGGAGAACTATTTATGTGTGAAAAACTTCTTAACTTTGGTTACAGTCACAAATACCATATCCCTTCTCCCATAATCACCTACTTAGCTGGTTGTGATAGTTGAACTAGTACCTAGGAGCTGGCTGTAAAAACTAGCAGTTTTTTTGCTAGAGTAGGGAGACTTGATGTGAAGGGCCAAAACCACACCAATTATATTGCTGCTTAAAGTAGCCAGGTGGTGTGAAATGAACTGGGAGGTCCATGCCCTTACGAGCCTGAGGTTATGACCCTGGTCAAGGCAAATGGCCGACAAGCAGTCTAGTCAAGTGGGTCACATGATGTGTTGCCTTCTACTCTGAGTCATTAAGTTAATTTGAAATAAACTTTAGGAAAATAAGAGCATGAAACTTTTATGTTTCTTCCTTCTTGAGCTTTAATTTATTTACTTAAGGTTTTTTTTTTTTTTTTGAAATGAAGTCTTGACGTGTTGCCCAGACTGGTCTTAAATTTCTGGTCTCAAATGATGCTTCAGCTCCCAAGCAACTAGATGTATAGGCATGTGTCACTGTACCTGATTGAGCTTGTATTTTTATTGTTTTTTTATTGCCTATGTTTTAATTCTGTATAGGCATTTTTAATATTAATATCATGTTTTTACTGTTTAGTATTATGTTCAAGGCAGATAAGAACTTCTTTTATACTTTCCTTCCTAAACTTTATAAGAAAAGGATAGATAAGGGGCTGGGGATTTAGCTCAGTGGCATAAGCGCCTGCCTTGCAAGCAGGCAGTTGTGAGTTCGATCCCTGGTACCGATAAAAATGAAAAAGACAAAAAAAAAAAAAAAAACAACAACAAAGAAAAGGATAGATGGACTTCCCTTTCCAACATTTTACTAGAAATTATATTTACTGTTAACATTTCCAATTCAGTGCATAGTACAGATGATTGAATTATCCATGGTAGCTGTAGTCTGTAGTTAATTGTGAACACTGCATTAGCTGACATGACCTTTAGCTCTGTGTAATACATACAAAGGTAGGTGCCTGAGAGCCTCTGGTCAGAACATTTTTATCAGTTTAGGGATACCTAACTTATTTTTATATGTGCTTCTACTTAAATGCACCTTATGATATATATAATATTTTTAAATGGGGTCTTGCTGTATACTTTAGGATGCTCTTGAACTAACTAGCCCAGCCTAGTCTCAAACTCTCAGCAGTCCTCCTGCTTTTGAGTGTTGAAATTAGAAATGGTGCAGTACCACACCTGGTTTGTGTAATACAGATTGTTGATTCATTGTCATTGAACTCATATCTAACAGCTCTATAATTCATAACTGAAGGAAGCTTATCTCAAACATGTTCTTTTCTTTGTAAAGCTACATTACAGCTTTTTTGCTTATAAATTCTAATAGCACTTTAGTGCTATGATTAGAAGACATTTTAAAAAATGAAATTATCTGGGCTGGAGGTTTAGCTCAGCGACCTAAGTGCCTGCCTTGCAAGTAGGCAGTCGAGAGTTCGATCCTTGGTACCAATAAAAAGGAAAAAGACAAAAAAAAAAGAAATTATCTGCAAAAGACAAAAATATGAAAACCATAGGGCCAAATAGACCTTAAAAAAGATGTTTGGTTATGGTGTGAGAACTTAAATGAGAAAATAAAGTATTTCCTTTTTATTCTCAGCTAGGAATGTGAATATAGGATAACTCAGATTTTTCTCTTCTTCATGTTGTGATTTCGAAAAAATTAGGTATTTGTAAATTTTTATAGTTTACAAAAATTTTAGCTTCTATTGTAAACTCACAAATACAGAATATATTAGTAATAACTATACTTGGACTTTCAGTCTTCATTTTATCAGGATTTTATAGTATCAGTGTTCATGGTCTAAATTTTATATTATTTAACTTCGTGCTAAATAATTACTATTTCCAAAGCCATATATTTCCTATGGACAGTATTTCTAGCCTAACCTATTAATTGCAGCTTCAACTTCCTATTTTTTACCAAGTGTTTTCTATTCCTATAGGAAACAATGCCCCCACCAACACATACTGCATTTTCTGGGCACCATCTGCCATTTGTTGGTTTTACGTATACTAGTAGCTGGTAAGTTTCAACAATTGGACAATATGTAACAAATTAAAGTTAATTAAAGTTTTTAAAATATAATGCATAAGAAAGCCTGTAAAATAGGATAAATATGCTATTGGGAAAATAAGATATTGTAAAATGAGTAGAGCACACAAGAATCTTACCTCTTTTAGGAAGGGAAAGAACAGGACAAATAGAGAGCTTAGAATCTAATACTCAGCAGTGAAGCAAGGATTAGAAGAGCCTTGTGCTAGTGCATAAATATTCTGTAGATGTTAAGCATGAGAATTTTCAACACACTGACCGTATCGTCCTTCCACACCTTGTTCCACTTAGATACTCTTGTTCCTCCTTACCCAGGTTAAGTTCCACTGAGAATTACCCGCCTCAGTTCCCTAGCTCTCTCATTGTTACACTTGCTTTGTTATGTCAACATTTATAATTCAGTTCTTTGCTGTATTTGGTGTACCGTCCAGAAAACTGACCATTCTTACCAGCCTTACTTTAAATTCATGTTTACCAGCCTCAGCTTTTAGTTGGAAGATGGACTGTATTTCTCAGTCTTAGCACCTAGGTAAGCATTTCACACTTGCCACTTGCCTGTGAAATTGCAGTCATCCTCACTATAAGCTCATGCTGTTGCTCCCTCATTCCTCAAGAGGAGCAGCAAGACTCCTATGTGCTCTTCTTACCATAGATGGACCATGAAAGCTTCCGGCTGAGGCCAACTCCATCCGTCTTCTCTTGCCTAGTATAGTTATTGTTCACTTTAATGCCATACTTTTTACCCATTTTGTGTCATCTTCATAATCAGATCATTTCCTTCAGCTTTAAAGCATATAGTTATTTCTTCCATCTTCCAGCAAAATGTGAAACCTCTTTGGGTCCCTTTCTTTTACCCTGTTACTAACCAGTTATCTCATCTGTGTTGTAACGGAATTACTTTTGTTGACTAGTTTTTTTTATACTATTTTTCTTTGAATCCATTCCAGTCAGGATTGTGCTCTTATCACTGTCACTTAGCACAGGCTTCTTTTGTTACTGTCACTTTTGATCTCCATGCTGCTAAATCTGATGATTACTTTTCAGTCCTAGACTTATTTGCCTAGTGTCATCCTTGCCACAGCTCCACACCACTAAAAATTTTTCGTTTACTTTCAGAGCACTTGTCTGATTTTCTTTTTAATCTTTCTGGCCACTGTTCGGTCTCCCTAACTGAGTTTTCTTAATCCTCCTGATCTTTGTGAATATCATTGTTTTCAGAGTGTTGTAGGGCTCAGTCTTTGGCCTTCTTTTTTCTCCCTGTCCTCCCTCTGTTCTTCCAGTTACCTGCTGATGACTTCTCAGTGTGTATCTGCCGCTGAGGCTTCTCTTTTTTTAAATCTGTCTTAATCATCTACGTAATAACTTTCTTTATTTCTTCCTTTGAATCTGTGCAAAGTTATCCTGCTAAAAGATACGTCAGAATATGCCGCTCCCTGTTCAGTACCAATCCCCTTCACACCCCAACTCTTAATGACTTTGTCATAACTCCAAACCCAAGTTCTTATAAGCCCTTTTCAACTGATTCACATTTATTTCTGATTTTTTTTTAAACGACCCTTCAAATGTGACTATCTTTCTGATTTTATTTCCCATTGCTCTTTGCCTTGCTCTCCTCAACTTCATCTACGTGAACAGCCTTTGCAGTCCAACAGCATTGTTTCTGGAATCTTGCAATTGTGTTTCATCTGCCTAGAATGCTCTTCCTCCTGAAATTTCTTGGACTGGTCTCCTTATACCTGCCTTTTCTCACAGTCATTTTCATAGGATAGCTTTTCCTGACCACTTTAAATTTTTATCTCCTCTTCATCAAGGCTTTATTTCTGTTTTTCTTCATGAATTCTCCTTAGCATTTAACACTATCTAATGCACTGAAGACTTCAGTTAATTATCTTATTGCTGTCTCTGTCACTGGACTTTAAGGATTTTTGTTTATTGCTGACTAATAACTCCTATATTTTTTATTAGCTCATACGGAATTAAGGAAGATAGCTCAGTTTTGAATTTTGAATTGCAAATTCTGGTTAAAAGTAGCATGGTTGATGTTTTTAACTGCTATTTCACTTAGGTGGTCAAATTGTTTTAAACTACTAATAACCCTTCAGCAAACTTCAGTTTTTTAAATATTAAAGATAATTTGAAGGATTTAAGTTTTCATTTAAAAAAATAAAAGTGGGTTATAGTAGTTATTCAGAAATATTTCTACACTCATTTTAGCTAAGTGTAGATATTCAAATGCATGTTTTAAATGAATAATTTCAAAGGGTTGTTTTTTTTTCACTTTTTTTATTGTAGTATGAACTTGCATTTTTTTTCTTTTCTTCAGTGTTCTTTCTGATAGGAGCTGTTTAAGAGTTACAGCTGGCCCCACCTCAGGAGATCTTGATGTTAATGTTCAGAGGACTCTAGACAACAACTTAGCAACTGAAGCTTATGAAAGAAGAATTAAGCGTCTTGAACAAGAAAAACTTGAACTTAGTAGAAAACTTCAAGGTAAACATATTTAAGGATAATATTTTTCTTTTGAATTGGTAACATCAAATTATGAGCTGTATTCCAAGTAGTTATTTTATCTTAAAGTGGTTTATGAGTGGTGAAAATCACATTGTATTGTATTTATATAAGATATAGTATAATACCATTTATGTAAAAACACAATTAATAGTAAGCAGTAAAAAAAATTGTTTCCGATCATTTTGTGTGTACACACACACACACACACATATATGGGAATAAATACATATGGAGAAAGGAAAAGATTATGAGGACAACAGGAATTCTTCTCACCATAGTAAAACACCTTGATGACTTTCAGAGCATATTTTCTTGATCTTTAAGAATTATTGCTTCTCTCCTACTGTCACTCTTTATAGCATTGTACCTGTCATGTTGTTTGGTGATTTTTTTGAATGCACAAAGGTGAACGTTTTGTAAATTTTGACCTAGTTTCTCTCATTGGCAAAAATCATTATTAATCTCTCCTTGCTTCAGCCCTCTGTTGACAGCAAGATAAATCTCAAAGTTATAATATTTAAACTACATTAATCTCAGTTGCAGGCAAGCCTTTCATAATGTCCTGGTTATAATTTTTCAGGGAATTTTCAGGTCTGTAAGTCTCTATTATTTAATTAGGTTCTTGGTAAGAAATTTAGAACACTAAATTGTGAAGATAAATTCCATTTGTCAGATTGCACTGTAGCCCTGGAGCTGAAGAATAAGTTTAATGTTTAATAACATTTGTGAATCTAGCTTTCTCATTACCCTTGCAGAGCTCTGTAGTCTCGCATTTCTTATTCTCTGCATTAAAGATGTCATTATCTTGGTATCTGGGCTTCTGCTATAGCTATGACATCTTGAAGTGTGCATCAGCGAGGTGTTCTGAGGTTTTCCTGTAGTTAGTTTGATAGAGGTGGTGGTGGCAGCTTTCCAGTGTGTTCTATGCAGAGGAACTCCATTGAGAGAAAGAGGTTCAGTCACAGTCACAGAAAGTGAGCTGCTGCTTACTTGCTTCAGGAAAACCCCAATTTTCTCTCTCTGGTGCCCAGTGAGTGTCATAAAGATGGTCCTAGGAGTGATTGTAGTGATCGTAGCTCTGTAGTTTTTTAGCTACATACTGGTAGCACAGTATCTAGGCATTTTGCAAAGCTTAAAATATCTGAGTACCACTATTCTCATTACTACCAGCTGGTTTTGCAATAGTAAGAACTAACTTTCTTTATGTTTTTTTTCCTATTCAATCTTGGATTTAACCAGCTGGATGCTTTCTCTTATATATGGCATTTCTGGAATACATACCAGATTGAGCGTATCTGCCGATTTCTCTAACTAGAACAGGGGTTCATCTATAGGGAACTTCTCCTTTTTGGGGCTTTTTAGCCTCAGGGTAGTGGTGGTGAACTTGTGGCATGTGTGTTGAAGCAGGCTTTTTGTTACTATTGAAATCTCTAATAGGTTCCCATGCTGCTGTAGGATTACCCTCTTCAACTGTACTAGTGGCAGCAGCGTCCTTGGCCGCCAGTTTTTTTCTTCTTGGTATTTGGCCTCTTAGCTTTTGCCTCACTGTTTTACAAGATGGGCTTCGTGGTGTCTTAATTCCAGTATTCCTTCAATTCCGTCATCACCTATAACTCTGTATCACCCTATAATTACCGTTTCACTTTTCTTATACTGTGTTATCAGATTTCCATCACTGTTACAAAATATACAATTTAAACAGAGGAAAGATTTACTTTGGCTCGTGGTTTCTCAGATTTTAGTCAGTGGTGGCCAAGTTACTTTTGGACCATTGGTGAAGCAGTACATTATGATGGTAGCAGAAGTTATCTTTTTGTGGTAGCTAGGAAACAAGGCAGAGAAGCAATGTTGAGATTCCCTTCAGGGTTATCCTTGAAGTTACTTCCTGCATCTAGGCCCTGTCTCCTAAAGAATACACCACTTCTCAGTAGTATCACATGCCAGTCTTTTCACATGTGAGCATTTGGAAACATTTAAGGTTCAAAGCAGCACATCCTCATTTCTCATTTTGTAGTTAGTAATAATCATACTCACATATATCTTCAAAGGTATAATTCCATTTTTGTCACAAAATGCAGCTTTGCCTATGCACTTGTACAATTTAAAATAACATACTTAAGGGGCTGGGGATTTGGCTCAGCGGCATAAGTTCCTGCCTTGCAAGCAGGCAGTTGCGAGATCTCTGGTACCGATAAAAAAAAAAAAAAAAAAAAAAAAAAAATAACATACTTAAAACACACAAGTTCAAATTCATGCACACCAGCTCTAAATGCTATGCAGCAGACTCATTTTTCTTCCCAAGCTCAATTGTATTGCATTGTAAAATCCACTGATTATTTCTGAAACAGTATCTTTTTTACCTGTCAGCATTATTTGACCCAATGAAGTATTTTTGCTTCCAGATAAAACTTTGTTTTTGTTTGTCTTTCTGGGGCACTTTAGTCTACTAGTTTTTCTTTTTCTTCATAAAACAGCCCTTTTGGAGTTTCTTTTGTTGATTTTTCCTTAACCTTGACCTTGATTGTTAGAATGTCCCAGAATAGTATCGGCTTCCTATATTGTCAGAGGAAAAACCTTACAGCCACCTGTAAGTCTTCTCTTCTCATCCCACATGGCTGATCCATTAGCAAATCAGGTTAACTTGGCCTGTGATAATAGATTTATAACCTAGATATCACTCTCTATAGGGTTCTGATCTTTTTGTCAAACTACCATCTGTTTTCCTCCATATTACTGCAGCAACTTACTGATTTCCCCTACTATACCTTTTCCTATCCTCTTTACTGCTTTTTCAGCTTGTTTCCAAAACAACTAATTGTGTAAAAATATAATTTAGATCATTTTATTTCACTGCCTTATCTCTACTCCCAAAGGCTTGCAAGCTCATATGAATAACCAAATTGATTTCAGTAGCCTAAAGTCATGTATGATGAAACATCTTACATACTTTATTTGCTTCTACTTTCTTCCTTGTTTTTTCTATTCATGACGCCCAAAGATTCATGCTATCCTTACTGTTCTTTCCACAGCCAAGCAGGACTCCCCTCTTCCCCACCCTGGACCTTTGCATTAGTTACTGAATATAGTCTCCCTTTGATAGTCACAGGACTTACTCGGTTACCTCTTTACTTGAATCAGATCTCTAGTTCAAGGAGGCTTACAATGGGTCCTTTCCTGATCGTCCTATTTATAATTTAATCTCAGCTCCATCTCAGCACTCAAGATCCCCCTTTTATGGTCATTTTCTCCAAAATGAAAGATACTACATACAGTCTAGTTTGTATATTTTGTGAATAAAGGAATGCATGTATTAACAAATAATCAAGAGTTTGTACATCCTAAGAGAACAAACTGAGTTTTACAATCATAAAAGGTTACAATCATACTTTTTGAGGGCAAGTAGAGAAAGACACTGTTGGCATCAGTAGAACAGACTATTTTCTGTTCTTCAATAAATTCCCTAAATTTCTGCATGTGAATTACTTCCTGTTTTATAAAAAAGGATTGATTGACTGATTGCAGTACTAAGGAATAAATCCAGACCTTTGCTCTGGCGTTTTTTTTTTTGGGGGGGGGGTCACTGTTGTTGTTGGGGCGGAGGAGGCTTACAGGTTATTACATTGCCCAGGCTGGGTGTGAGTGTTTGACCCTCCTGCCTTAGTGCTGGAATTACGTGCATGTGCTACCATTCCTGTCTTCTTTATTGTTTTTTTTTTTATATGGTGATAAACTTACAGTAATATGTGCAAGTACTGTTTTACGTGCATGAACAGTAAATGTTTATATATGTGTGTAACTCCATCCATATCAACATACAGGATATTTCCAACATAACAGTCTCCTCATGTTCTTTCCTGTTTTGTACTCTTCCATTCTTAAAGTAAACTTTACACTAATTTCTTTCACTATTGATTAATTTCTAACTGTTCTTGCACTTTGTATAAATGGTGCAGTACTATGTAATACTCAATTTTGTGTCTGGCTTCCTTTACATAGTACGTTTTTGAAATTCACCCATTTGTTTTGGGGTAGGCCATTTTCCTCAGACAGAACTTAATCTCTGAAATCCTCCAAAATCTTAAGAGATTTCAGTCTCGAGTTTTACCACCTCTCTTGAGTTCTTATGTAATAAGATTAAGGAGCCAATGCTATCTATAGGTGAACTTCAACATACAAGGCCAGGACTTCTGTGTATTACATAATGGCATGTTTAAGCTTCCCTTTATATACCAGACTTAGTTCCTTGTACAAACTTTTTGACTTATCACATGATGATGCTCTTTGCTATGACAGATGGAACCAAGTAGTTGATTCAGTAGCAGAGTATAACAACAGTACTTAAAACTGAAAATCTCATCCATTAGCATCTTGCTTTTTTTATAGATATAATAAATTTTAAAGACATGTAATGGAAGTTTTATAGCAATTTTAAATGTGTGCACATGCTCTTTGTCAGGGGGTAACTGTTCTGATCTATAGAACTATATATGGATTTTTCTACAAAGACATATATTAATACATATTTTAAAATTTTTAAAGTATGTCAATGGTTTTTCATTCTTTCTCTTATTCTCGTTTTAAAAGAATCAACACAGACCGTCCAGGCTCTACAGCATTCAACTGTTGATGGGCCACTAACAGCAAGCAAAGATTTAGAAATAAAAAACTTAAAAGAAGAAATTGAAAAACTAAGAAGACAAGTAGCAGGTAAATTTCTGTGATTCATCATTAATTGCATTTGGTAGATTTTAAGAAATAATGTATTTGCACCTAGTTTCTTCCCTGTCTTACATGTTATGAGTTATGTGTCAGTGATGAAAATGCAAATAAAATGGGTTCTGCCATCAAGGAGCTCTGTTTTGGTCTCAGAAGCAGATATATAAATAATCAGAATAAATTTGGCATGACTGGGGGAAAATAAGCAGGTACATGGAGAGGAGTGTCTGACCCAGATTTAAAGAAAGCAAGGATTCTTTTTCAGAAGACCTACTTTTAGTTGTGAAAATTGAGTTGGAATTTGTCTGGCAAATCAGAAAGAAAAGATAATACAATTGAGGAGAAGGAGGGACACTGTAGAGAAGGGAACTGTACATATGTAGATGTTAAGGTTTGTAAAAATTCGTTTGCTCATTTTTCAATGCATTCCTGAGATTAATTAAAATTGACAAATGTTAGAGCACACATGTAATCCTAGTACTCAGGGGACTGAAGCAAGACGATCATTGCAAGTTCGAGACCAGCCTGGGGTACAAAGTGAGGTCAAGGCCAGCCTAAACTGCATAGCAAGAGCCTGTGTCAAAAAGAGGAAAGAAAATGAGAAATATTTATAGGCCTATTTTATTCATTCATTGTTTATTTCAGCTAGCCAGTAAATCTTTATTGAACAGCTACTGCATTCCAGGTATTGTTTCAGGCTTTTGAAATGCCTCCGTAGAGTAATCTGGAGAATTTATGTTCCAGGGAGAAAGACAAGCCAGTACAAGGCCCCCAAGCCAGATGGTGCTTCTTGTGTAAATAGAGGACAATATGGGTCGTGAGTTCGATTCCTGGTACTAATTAAGAAAAAAAAAAGTAAATAGAGGACAACATGGCTGAAACAGAAAGAATAGGAAGGGCAAATGGAAGGACCTGAGATTAAGGCGGTAATGGGATAGAAGGGTTTGTTGCCTTATCAGTAGCATCCTGCTGGTTATTATAAAATCTTTACTTTTTATTCTGAGTGAAATGGGAACCTGCTTTCAGGATTTAGAGGTATCCTATGATCTAAGTAATTGGAGAGTTACAGAGAAGTGCCTGTATTAGCTAGAATCACAGGTGTCTCCAGACATTTTCAGATGTTTCAAGTTGAGGTAAAAATTGATGAAAGAAAAACTGGGCATAGGGGACCATGACTGTCATCTCAACACTCAAGGGGCTGAGCAGGAGAATCACAAGTTTAAGGCCAGCCTAGATTACATAATCTAAATCTTCCTTCAAAAAACCCAAAAACCCCACAAAACTTTTTTTATCCTAAATACATATGGAATTCTTAGCTGAGCATATTTCTAAAAGTGGCTTGCTTCCTCAGAAATATGTCTCTCAGGTTTCTGTAACTGGATTATAGATATGGCTGAGTGTTAGAGCACTTGCCTAATATGTCCAAGTTCCTGAGTTCAGTCCCCATTAACTCCTTTCTCCTCAATTCTCTAACTTTGTATGTCTAAAAATAGGTCATATCTTGAACATGGATAGTGGAATAATTTACCTTAGTCCCAATGATAAAACATTAAGAGTGGCTGTAAACATATTTTAGTCATGCAACACTAAAAAGGCAGTAGAACATAAGACTAGCTAGGATAGTCAGTGATTTATCCTCAAAAAGGAAATAATGGAAATAGAAAGTTTACTTATGAGTCTATGTCAGATTTATATTTTCTTACAATAGAATATGGGTTTGCATAATAGTTTTTGAATCTTGTTTTAAAATTAAAAACTACAGTAAATAGATTAAAAACATTTAAAGCAACCATCTAGTAGTTGAGTGCTTTATCAAAATAGTTGTGAGCTTCTTTGTTGGCTCAATGTAATAGCTAAGTTTTAAATTCTAAAACATTATGCTTACATTACCATTTTGCCAGTATCCAGAGGGATCTGTTGTCATCTAAACTATTAAATAGAATAACAGTAAATAGTTCCATTTTTAAAGAAACTGCAAGTGATACTATATTTCTAATTTTGGTGTTCATATAGTCATTATCAATATACAGAGATACAACTGATTTTTGTGCATTTGTTTTAAATTCTGTAATATTGCTGAACTTAGTTCTAGGAGAATTTTTTGTTTTTTTAGGATTCCTTGGGACGCTCTATGCTACCAATTATGTTACCTGTAAATAGGAACCATTTTTGTTTCTCCCTCTCCGATATGTATATTTTCTTACTTTCTTGACTCATTGCTTCGGCTAGAGGGTTGAAGAAAACCTGTGAAAAGAGGATCCTAGTATTTCAATATTAGCATTTAATTTTCCATCTTTAAGCATAATAGTAGTTGTAGGCTTTTATAGATAATTCTTTATCAAGTTAAAAGTTCTAGTCAGGTGTGGAGGTGCAGTCTGAGAGGCTAGGCTAAAGCAGAAGGATCACAAAGCCAAGCCAGCCTGGGTAACTTAGTAAGACCCCGTTTCAAAATTAAAAAATAAATAAGGAAAGATGGGGAAGAAAAGAAAGGGATAGGGATATAACCAGTGTAAAGGCAATGGATTCAGCGCACCTCCCCCAAGAAAAAGCTACGAGTTTTCCTCTGTTTTATGTTTCTTAGGGTTTTTTTTTTTTAAAGTAATAAATGGGAAGCTATGGATTTAGCTCAGTAGCACAAGTGCCGGCTGGCAAGTGTGAGATCGTGAGTTCGATCCGCCGTACTCTCCCCCCCCGCCCCGCCCTGTCAAAAAATGTAATAAATGAGTGTTAAATTATGTCAAGTGCTTTTTCTACATCAGGTGTACAAATGCGATTATTTTTCCTTCAGTCTTATAATATATTACATTGGTTGACTTCCAACTGTTGAACCAGTCTTGTATCCCTGGAATAATAAGGAAATTACTCCTAATATTTTAGGGTTTTTTTTTTTCATTTATATGCATTGAGGGGCACCTTGAGACCCAGGCAGCATTCAAAACACCCCTTAGTTTCAATGCTTCTGAAGTTTCAGTTTGCTGTAGCTCATAAGCTACCTGCCTTTCGATCAGCTTCCCCAAAGTCTCCTATGGACAGTAACACAGGCAGCTCTCCTGAAGATAAGTTGTGCTCCACCAGACCATCAGAACATAGGCTGCCTACTCAAAGGACAGCCATATCAACCTGGTTCCAAGTCCTTTTCTTAGCCGTCTCCCAAGCATCCTTTTCAACCCCATTAAAAAAAAAAACAAAAACCTTAAAAAAAAAAAACAAAAAACCCCAATCTCCGAGTCTGTAAGAGATGATGCCACTTAGTTCTCATGCCAGTGGTCCCTCTCAGTTTTACTTCTAATAAACCTGTTCTATTAAGTTTGCATCTTTGTTCCTCTGGTTTTTTGTTTTTTTTACATATATGAGAAATACTGGTCTTTAATTTTCTTTCCCCTCTCTTTGCCTCTCCCCTTTCTTCCCTGATCATTAAGGAAATAGCACCTTACTAACATGAATTTTGAATTGTTTCTTCCCATTCTCCTTTATAAGAGATTGTGCACAGTAGGCATCTGCTTTTTTATAAATTTTTGTAGAACTCTCCATTGTATATGGGTTTTGAGCTTTTGCTTATAATTTTCACCTTATAAATTTGGTTTTCTTAATAGTTACAAAGCTTGTCAAATTATGCACTTGATAGTAGATCAGTTGTGGTAGTTTGTGATTTGATAGAAATTAATCTGGCCTAAATTGTCAAGCTTTTACGTGTTATTTATATTATTCCATTTTTATTAATAGTTCTCTGCTATCATTTTGCTGTCTTTAGGGTCTGTAGGGATAGCCCCTGTCTAATGCCTGATAATGATAATTTTTCTGCTTCTCTGTCCTCCTCCTTTCTCCTTTCTCTCTTTCCCTCCATCTCCTTACCCCTTCCTCTTTCTTTCTCTCTTCCTCTGTCAGTTTTTTTGATCTTTTCATAGAATCAAATTTTTGCTTCATTGACTTGTCTCTGCTTTTGTTTCCATTTCATTGATTTCTGCTCTATTATTTCCTGCTATTTTCTTTGTGTCTTTAGAGTGGGCACTTAGATTAACTGATTTAAGACTTTTTCATGCAGTTAGTGCTATAAATGTTTCACTCAGTACTGTTTTTACAGGTGTCAATATATTGCATTTTCATTTGACCAAATGTTTTAATGTTTTTTACTTAGTTTCCTCTAATTAATGGATTATTTAGAAATGTGTTTAGTTTCTAATTGTTTAAAGAGTTTCTAGTTATTTTTCTGTTACCAGTTTCTAGTTGAATTCTGCTGTGATCAAATACCCTCCAAATGATTTCAGTTCTTTTAAAATGGCAGAAGTTTAAGATTTAGACATAATCATATAGATATAATCATATAAATGGTATAATAGACATAATCAAATAGATAGCATTTTTATATAGGTTAAGTTCCTGTAACATGAAACTACTTTTTAAAAATCATACTGGTGGTTGAACCCAGGACATTTGCAAAATAAAAAAAAAAGTTATTTTATTTTAGGACACGGTCTAGGTTGCTAAGCTGCCCACATAGAGCTGGAACTTGTGGTCCTCCTACTGCAACTTACCAGAGTGCTGGTACTACAGGCCCATGCCGTCATGGCTGGCTGAAACTAACCATTTGAAAGGGTACAGTTCAGAAGCAATCAGTATATTAACAGTATGGTATAGGCATTGCTTCTGGTAGAGAACAAAGTCACACACATAAACAATCTGTTTATTTTGACCTCTCATTATCCCTGACAACGTTTAATCTTGCTTTTTCTTTTACAATAATACCTATTCTGTATATTTTTAATATAAGGAATTGTCTAATGTATGTGTGATCTTTTGTGTTAGGCTTCTTTTATATAGCATCGTATTTTGAGGTTTTTTCCATGCTATAACATGTATCAATACTTCATTCCTTTTTATTTTAGCTGTCTTGGTATATGTGAAATGGTACTTCATTGTGATTTTCATTCACATTTTCCTCATAACTCACAATATGCTCTTTAGCCATTTATGTTGTTGTTTTTAATATAGTT